GGAGGGACATCCGGTCAAGTTGACCAGGGTTGCATACGGGAAACCAGGTTCGTCATCGGTGCTCCCAGGCGGCGCCGTCTTGCTAGTGCATGGAGGTAGTCAGGGGGGTGAGGGAATAGCGAGTGCGGGAGGAAGCTGCACGCTCACAATATTATTTGTCCGGTAGAAGAGTCGAAAAATGCTTCAGTCCGAATAGTTTCTACCGCTGACGGAGTTGAAGTATTTGATACTTCCAACCTCTGTTGTCTCCAGCTCACATTATCTGACACCTTCCGCTCACTCTCCCCTCGAAAAATGCTCCTTCAATTCTATACAATTTCTACCTAGGCATACACAATTAGTCGGGCCATCCATAGCTGCTGGTCCCAATCAACGTGATTAGTGCGACCCCACAAGCGCTCGGTCGCCTAGATCACGCGTTGACCTTTGACCAACCGTCATGACCAGTCAAGCTAGTCAAAATCGGTCATGGCTTCGGTCATGACCGCGGTCAAAACAACGCTGGTCCACACCCACTCGTATTCCGAAATCCATCAGGTGACGCCCGTTCAACGTATGAGGGCATTCAAACAATCAAAGACGACTGGCAGGACTTGGTAACATTTTCGTTCAAACCGCTGGCCACTGATAGTCCTTTCACAGACTTGCTTTTCTAGCTGTATATCAGGGCTGACGTAGGTCATCATGATATTACGGCTTGCAATAAGTGGCGTACCACCCTCTTGCGTGACGTTCTATGACGGCATGCGCCAATCGCAGGTCGAACCCGGGCCTAGGACAGATGGCATGCTACTGATGTCTGCCTAGTCACCCTACCGAGGCTCTCCGCTATCCTGAACCCTGGTCGTCAACTGTGATCCACACTTTTCCAGGTCGTCGTGAGACCGCGATGCGATCTGTGTACATAGACGCCAGCGTCGGTCCCACTCGCAAGTCCGAACTTCCTATTCACCGGTCACCGCTGACATAGCTGTTGGCCAGATATGGTAACTTCACTTGACCAACATCGGTCTTCATTGAGGGTCACAAGCTCGAACGACTAGCATGGGCGGCTTATAAGGATGCCATGAATGCTGGACACAACACTCATCCGTCTACCTTTGCGCTACCACATCCTCGCTATGTCTACTCAGAAGGCACTCATCATCCCGGAAGAGCGCGCGCCGTTCAAGCTCGTTAACGACTGGCCCATCCCCAAGCCAGGCGCCAACCAAGTGCGAGTCAAGATTCTCGCCGCCGCGCTGAATCCTGCGGACCACAGGATACAGAAATTCGGCATGCCAATGCCCAGCTCGTACCCATTCATCAATGGTCTCGACGGTGCTGGCATTGTCGAGGAGCTCGGTCCCGACGTCACCAAGGTCGCGAAGGGCGACAAAGTGTAAGTGGTCTACGAAGTAGAGTGCGCCCATTAGCACATTGACTACGTTGCAGCCTCTTTCCTGGCGGATTTCTCCTCGAACGTGCGACGTTCCAGCAGTACAACATTGTCCCGGAACTCAACATTGCTAAGGTCCGTGCCTATGAGGCCACATTCCGTCCGTCGGTTGAGGTCAGGGTGGATTCATGCTCCCCTGCCAAATCGCAAGTAGCCGCTCGGGACTACGGTGATTTTGGCTGGTAATCCTACCATACCCTGCTCCTATCCGGCGTATAGGCTCTGAATGCTCCAGGCTTTCCGCACGTGTGCTCATGCGTTTCTCCTTTAGATTCCGGACAACCTCTCTATCGACCAAGCGGCATCCGTGCCGCTGGGCCTCGCTACCGTTGCTACCGGGATCTGGGCCCATCACCCCGAGGCGAACTCCGTCGATTTCCCAGCACCATGGGAGGAAGGCGGCAAGACGAAATTCATTGGCCAAGCCGCCCTAATCTATGGCGGCTCCGCCTCCGTCGGACAGTATGGTACGCCTATCGCTCTTACGCTGCCTGTCTATCGTCTTCCTGAATTGCAAACAACACTTTTGTCAGCGATTCAACTCGCGCGCATCCAGGGCTTCTCGCCCATCATCACAATCTCGTCTCTTAAGCACGAGGATTACCTCAAGTCTCTCGGTGCGACGCACGTGATCGACCGTTCCCTCCCGCACGCAGATGTCCTGCGCAAGCTTCCGGAAATCACTGAAGGCAAATCAATCGTTTACGCGTATGACGCAATCTCGTACCCCGAGACGCAGGCGTTGGCGTACGACGCTCTCGCGGATGGGGGCGCGCTTGTTGTAACGAACCCGCGCTCTGCGGATTTCCTTAAGGACATGACCAAGGACGGAGATGGGAAGAAGGTCGCGCGGCCTGTCGCTACCCTCTCACTTCCAGGGAACTTGAAGCTGGGTGAGGGATTGTACAATCACATTACCGAGTGGCTCGCCACGGGGGTCATCGTGGTATGTGTTCAATAGTGGTAGACGTCCAGCCTGCGCGGCACTGATAGCACACGCATGCTAGCCAAACAGGATCGAGATAATCCCGAACGGCCTTGCAGGTATCCCGGAGGGATTGGCTAGGATCGGAGAGGGCAAGGTAAGCGGCGTGAAGCTGATAGCTCGTCCTCAGGAGACGCCGTGAACGTCAGCACTCGATACCATGCGGGGAGGAATATATCTGTAACAATATGGCACTGGACACTCGTCTCGTTTATGAATGAGATAACTGTTTCCTTCCAAGCACCTCGCACAGGTTTGAAGTTCGAGTGCGCTCAGGCTGTACGGAGAACTTGCCCTGGGGCAGTGTCATACGTCCGCGTGCCCAGCATATGTCCAACATTAAGAAGCCTAAAAACTCGCTACACTTATACCATACCTTGCAGCTGTCGTCCCACAGAATGAGTCTCCGTGACGTCAGCGTAACCCTATCTTGTTACGCGCCGTGACCCGGGTGACAACCCGGGACATCCGGGGTGCCGATGCTTGCGAGAGACCAGCATCATCGCCTCCGACGAGTCGTTTTGCAGGGCTGTTGGGCAAAGGGGCACTATGGACGGAGGTGCGTCATTTATGTACTGAAGAGTCGCTGTATCCCTCATAATATACAAACGAGAACAGGTGTATGTTCATGTTGCGTCTTGTCGCCCTCGTCTAATCGCCCTCGTCTAATCAGTACGTAGCCACCAGCCTTTACATGCTCTCTTACGGCCTTCTGCCGATTTCATGAACGCCAGATATCCAAAGTGGGTGTTGTGGTTTTGCGCTAGTGACATACATATGGTGCCGTATATTAAACAGCTTCCCTATGGGCTACACCAAGATCCTGAATGCAACTACCTAGCCAACCATGCAATTCCGAGGGCCCATAATTCCCTCCTGTAGGTCCGAGACTGGTTTACTCGAGTTGTAATCGGGTCTGTCAAGCTGACATTCATGTGGGAGGATGGCAGCAAGCCCAGGTATCCCGGGCAAGCGGCTGTTGTCTATCCGTGACATGTCGTATGTAGACCAATACGGTACGCCTCGCATTAGCACATGTATCTGTGCAGAACTGACTCCGTAATATGACGACGCGCAGTCATTCAGTATGTGAGGATGCAAGGCCTCTAGTCAATTCTCACCACAGCCCCTCCCGTTGCACGAAGGCCACTTGAAGTCTCTGGGTGCGACGCGTTATCGATCGCTCGCTCTGCGGGCTAAATCCTCGAGTGCCTCTCGGCCCTGACCCAGGGAAACATAATTTATCACACATACGACGCTTCTGAAGTGCTGGCAGATGATGGCGCTCTCGTCGTGACGCCACCGCAATCTACGAGTTCATGATCAAAGGGGGATAAGGGAAGTGCGTCGCTCGTTCCCTCGCGAACTTCGAGATACCTGCTAACTAGATACTCAGATTTCGAATCTCCAGCCGTTTGGCTGAATGGCTTGTTACAGGATCTGAAGATATTGTGGTGGGTGCCCCTGGGGTTGCGGGCGGTCTGGAGAGGATGGAGAAGGGTCATGTCAACGGTACGAAACTAGTCGTCCGCAACTGCGATACCCCTCAAATCCTGTCCTGGACCTTGCTGTTCACGGCGTTGAACCAGATTGGGCCAATATGCACGTATAAGCAAGGCCGGTCTAGCGATGCTCTAATTTGGAATTGTGGGCGTTTGTAGAAGATCTCGATGCGGGCGAGCGAGGACTCCCTAACGGCTTGTTTGATGCGCCTGACCGCCTTCTTCCCTATAGAACATGTTCCACCACCACCTCGCCAGCGTTCACCAATCAGCTTGTCCGATGCAGACCGGAACATTGGCTTGCTTTTTGGCCCCGAGTTGCAAAAGCCGCGCAACATTGCAATAATGGCCGAGAACTCGTGTTTCATGCTAACCCTCAAGAGGAGGGGTCAGTTTCTAGGAGGACTGCTATGCTGCATACATTCGCAAGACTACTCAGGTTTTTTTTCACTCCCAGCTTATCACGGCGTCTAGGCGGCGCCGCCCTATTGAATCAGTTATGGTGAGTGCCGCCATTATCCAGGCCACTGGGACATCATCCGACGCGCGGCAGACAGTCGTATATCAGAATGCGCCCGGCATGCCCCATGATCTCATGCAGACCATGCATGGTAGTGCCACTGGCATCACATGTGCACCGGAGGACATCTAGGATCTGCACGACATCACCGCCGTGCTGTGCCTTGGTACAGACCCTAACCTCTTTACCCGCGCTCCAGTTACGTCTTCTCAATTGTACACGCGCTAGTGCGAGCCCGCCCGTGACAGCGCCCCCGCAAGTGTGCATTGAGCTTGGCATGGTCAGTGCTGTAAGGGCGCAATACCAAGCAAAACCGAGCGAGCTGCGAGCTGCCTCACACGTCCGCCCGTTAGCGGCCCAAAGTACTCCTTTTCATCGCCGTAATTTCAACAGATGTCTTGGCACTGGCACCTCGTACGTACTCTTCCTTTTCGTGAATTTCCATTTTGGGTTATCGCGGTGCTAACCGTTCTCCTGTGTCATTGTTCCAGGACGCCCTCTCCGCGCCCGCTGGGGCCCCTGCTCGGCTTCATCCCGCATTATGCGCGTCTCATCGAGAAAGAGGAGCAAGAAGGGTTTGAAGGGTGCTATATAAGAGGTACAGTTGAACCCTCCGTCTACAGCTCAGCAAGAGTCTTCCCCAGATCACAACCAGAGCTTACACTTCGCCTCTATATTCATCTCGATCAGCCATCCCTTCGCTGCCGCCACCAGAAACATGCAGCTCTCTATCGCATCCCTCGTTCTCGCCGCCATCCTCCCCGTCGCTTTTGCGGCCAACTGCCAGAACAGCGGCGGCGTCGCCAACGGCGAATGTGTCAAGTTCTACGGGAACTCCCAGTGCAAGGGCGACCCGATCGGCAGCTACAAGCCGACGTGCGCAGGCAATTGCTTCAAGTACGACAGCTATAGTAGCGTGTTCGTCTCCGGCGACGGGACGTACGGCACCGACTGCGTCCTGTACTCGGACGACAACTGCAGTGTCGAGCAGACTGTGAGTTTGCTATTTTCTTCGCCTTTCTCAGGTCGGGGGTAGTTCCGTGTTGTGGGCTGACTGTAAATTACGGCTAGGATACCGGCAATGTCGTCGTCGGAGGTGGGAAGTGCGCCGCTGCTCCCAACGCAAAGAGCATGAAGTGCTACTACCGCTGCTGAGCATCGGACGCTCAGTCAACTAGGGGTGGCGCCCGCTGACTGCTCTATGAGCAGCCCGCGCTGCTGGGGATGAACCGTTGTATATTCGGGCTGATTGGTGCTCTTGACCATATCACCGCCTAGTTCTGTCCTCGTACCCTGTTGACTCACGTACAATAATCTACTGTATCTCCATTGTGACTTCTGCTTCCCTAGGATGCACCCGTGCGCACTCCTGGTTGATCTTCTGCGCGCAATTTTGGTCTTCTGAATATTTGTAGCCTTCCAAGAAAGTGTAGCCCTAAGGAATCGTCCATGAGATGGTGCAACATCACTTGATTCCGAAGCGAATGATTCGTCGTCTCCTTCTTTTACGTTCGTTACCACTGGTACACTCTCTTCCGCGCATCAAGGGCTGCAACTATGATCACACATACTGTTACTAGACCGACCATTCGGTACCAGGCGTTCAGTCACGGGCGAACTCGCGTGGCTGTGCGGTGTTCGGGGGATACTCTGAGGCCCACGTCAACTTGAGCCGTTCCCGCGCGAACTTGAAGAACGCCGCCTTTAACGTCTGCGAACGCCTCACCACGGGGGCATTGCTACCAGAATCTGTACAGAGGTACGTGATTGCTATACTTACTACATTCTTCTCTCAGCTCTGCGTCGCAGGCTTTGTCATTTGGGCCAATACCTAGCTTCGGTCTCACCTCGTCTATCCCATCGTGATTGTTGAAGGACAACATGGGGCTGCTGCCCCCAGAAGTCTGGGGTCTCATCGTCGATCAACTTCAAGCTGAGGATCAGCGCACTTGCCTTTTCCTCTCTAAACTGCACCATGACTTCGCTCTCAAGGCTCTGTTTGCTCATGTCACCGTCTACTTCGGATTGTGGAGGATGGACGACGGCGGTCTTATGGATTCAATTGAGAAGCTGGAAGAGATGCGGCGCCGGAACAACACCACTTTTGACGTGCTCCGACACATCTCTCTTTCCCCTGACTTTGCGAGACTGGTTAGGACTCTCAGTGTTCGTGCTTTCGTCGATGGCGGCGATGGTATATTCCATACCCGTGAGTTTTTGCAAGTGCTGTGCGTTACCTTTGGACTGACTCATCACCTAAAATCAGGAGCTCTGATCCTGGCGATCCAAGCCTTACCAGCCTTACGGGCCTTCTACTGGTATGGATACTCGCCAATCTGCGATGACGCAATATTCTCGGTCCTTGCTCAGTCGGCAGGCCCCTCACTAGAAGTATTGCGAGTCCCGTACTGTTACTCTTCCCAAGCGTTGTTCATCACCAGTCACTAACACCTCGCGCAGTTTCACAGAACACACGCATACTAGTCTTACGTCGTTCGTCAGACTACGCGAACTGCGTATAGACGGTGTGCCGGTCCTTGAGAGCGAGGGCGGCGCAGGTGTTGCACTACACGCGACACAAATAGCCCTAGGCGCACTGTCGGGCACCCTCTTCCGGATTGCCGTGTCCGGGGACCTCGTCTGGGGATGTTCCGTTCGTTCTCTACTCGGATTGCAAGAACTCGAGGTCATACTACCCGAAGAGCCCGGCGGCCTTGCCCTGATCCTCCGACATTGCATCTCCCTGCGCTCTCTCTCCTTGTTTGTGCTGGAATCAGACGATCTCTTCTCCTGTTTGGAAGCATGCCCGACGTCACTTCCTGACCTTCGTGCATTCAAATTCATACATCGCGATGCCACTTTTGCGCATCGAAATGCAGAAATCCTTGCGCAATTCCTGAGGAACAAGAAGAAGCTACGGTCGCTTGATGTGGAGATCAGCGTCGACTTCGACCAGGGCGTTCACGAGCAACAATTACTCGAAGCTATCACAGAACTCACGGGACTTGAAGTGCTAGGCCTGAATTTCCAGCGTCCCGCGTGGCGACTAAGCGATATCGAACTCTTCGACAAGCACATTCCTAAAGGAGTCACAGCGCTGCGCATTTCTGTGCAGTTAGGTCAGGTCGATAATGAGGTCCTCCAGAAGGAGTGGTTTGATCTTGTAAGCCCAGCTTGTCCACTATCTCCTTGCAATATACTGAAAGCCACCACCAACCTTTCTGTTAAGTTCAAGAAGCGGACCTCACTGCGGTATCTCCAGATCTTTGATAAAGACAGGGTGTTAGACCTCAAGCAACAGATCCTGGAGGATCCCCCCGATGCTCTCGAATTGCTCGGGTATGGCCCATTCCTACGTTGGCTCGTGCGCGACCATGACGATCCCGACGATGACCGCCCCAAGTATTCCCCGTGCTGGTCGGCGTCAAAGCTTATCTTCAGGACCGTGGAAGACTTTGGATGCGCAGACTGGGAATGGCTGCTGCGGTGGCACGATTACGACGGTATCTGTGCATCTTCGTTCTATCGATATATTTGTCTGGCGCTGCTGACCACAGGACAGATGACTTGGAACCCGGTCCCTACGATGGCGTCACGGGTCGGCTCTTGCTGCAGTAAAGCCCGTGAATCTACGTTTCGAAGTTTAGTTAGTCATAAGGAATAAAAGATCGCGGCCTTCTCGTGGTGTGATCTGGCAAGTGAGTGTAACCGGTAACATTTACATTGGGAAGAGTGGGAAACCTGTAAACCAATCATATTCTGGCACGCCCTGAACCACGTTCTTCCAAAGGTCCCCACTAAATACAGTCATACACGGGTCCTCGGGACAGTCAAATGTTGCAACTCATCCTGAACCTTCCCCTACCTGTGCAGCCCATATCGGACAATATAACCATGTATGGTACTCTACAAGTCATCATATTCCCAAGTTTCATGGTAGTCCAGCTATGTGTGAGAGGGATCGGGGACAATCATCCTAAATTTCTCTTATCGCACGTCTCTCGGTCCTCGGGACAGCGCTTAATTCCCTCGTATGGAACGAGATTGCTGTTGCCGAGGATAGCTGAGCCCGGATATGGTATGTGGGCATCTAAACGCCCGATCGTTTGAGCGAAAGACTACTCTTCCACACTGTTTCGATGACTATCTGGGCACAGTGTCGAAATCGCACCACATGAATTTGCTGAGAGAAGGAAGATATATGTTGCCTTTTTGGAAACTAAAAATGGGGTACGCCCATGGGCATGGTGAGTATAGAATTAGGCCGCAATCAGTCCCAGATTTGGGTTTCGCGTAAATCTCATACACAAACTGGGCTGGTGACCTTACTTCCGGTTCGTCTCTGATGAAATTCGAGGAAAGTTGAGCTGTAAGTATTCTGTATAGTTATATACAAAGACCTGAGGCAGTAGGGTAGGGGCAGGGTCAGGAATCGCGCATTGTCCCGAAGACCCATGGTGTCCGACAGAGGACCCGTGTATGACTGTAGTTCTTTTCCGTCTTCCTTCCAAAGGTGCCACTCTGCATAGCACGAGGGACAAGTCGACCGCTCCAGAACCACCTTGTAAACTGAGACCGCCAGCTCCCTGAGCTTGTCGCTCAAGTTCCACGGATCGTAGCAAGGGCCTTTGTATACGGAACCACGGCCGGTGACGTGCGGTACCCGAATAGCCCGGATAGATAAGACTCCTAGGCACTTGTGAGTCTCTATGCGTCGACGGGCCCAGATATCGAGTACTGGAAACAAGGCCTCCAGTGTGTACCCAACACCAATGATAGGAATGGAACAGAGCACCATCTCTTCCAGTTCGGGGCAAGTGCTTGTGTTGAACTTGGACTTATCCGGTCCGGACTACACGAGGCTATGCGTCTCCTAGCGCTTAGCTGTAGTCGCTTATGTAGTATGTTACCATATTTGGGACTCTCTGCTCGTGTACTATAGCTATGCTTCTGGACTCTTCTGGTACTGTCTAGGACAATCCGTACTACTCCAGAACGGTCTAGACAGGTCTATGCCTTACTCATCTCTTACTCAGCCTATGGTGCGATACGTCGCAATTCTTTCACCATTGTATTATTCATCGCACTATGGTACATGTGACTAACCACCCTTTGATTAGTCATGGACACTTCTCTGTAGTATATAAGG